CACCCATTTAGTAAGAACAAGAGGAGGGAAGATTTGGATAATCAAGACAAATATCCATGCACCCAAGATGCCTCTAGGAAGGGCTGGCAGAAATAGTTTAGGTAAATGCTGATGTCTGATGTTTTGCTCTTGAGCTGGCAGATGGCTGCTCACCAGTTTCATTCGAAGCCATGGAGGGGGGGGGGATATGGAGGGGGGTTGTGGAAGAGCCCCTCAGAAATACTGTGCCTGAGTTGTTGAAGTGAATGAAGAGCTGGACTGAAATGATACTTGGGAGGAGGAGAAGAAAAACACAAGGCTCCAGTCACATTTCAGAATTAAAAGACAAGATGGGCAAAAAGTGACATTTTTGAGCCTGGAATCTGGCGACTTGTTGGAATGTCACTTGCATCTTGATAATATAACAAGAAAATTTAAAATCAGAAATAAACCAACTGCAGGATTATGTCCTCACAGTAAGGCTGATGGAAAGCTTGTTGATGACTCCGATAGGATTGTGAGTTCCCACGCAATTTATAGGTGCAGGACATAGATACACATGCATTCCAAATGAAGTAGAAGCAGGGAGACCATAAGCAAAGACACATGGCACCTGGATGGATAGTTTTTGGGGAGACAGCCACCCTGTCCCCAGTGACCACTGATGGGATTTATGGAATTCTCAGCAATGGTGCAGAGCAGCACAAATCCTGATTTTTTTTTTTTTTAAATGGGAGTCATGGCTGACATTGAGTTCACAGGCAGCCAGTGAACATGCTGTAGGTGGGTGTAGGTGACACCAGACACTACATGGTTGGGACAGTTGCTCAAAGAAGTTATGGGTTTGGAGGGGTCAGTGCCCTGGCTTGTGGTTTTCCTTTGGAGAGGAAGCAGCAATGCCTTGGGCCCAGGGGTATTCCCTATGGGGTCAGTGCCAATATAGCTGGGATAGAGAGAGTGCTCATCTCATTTTAATGGGGCTCTGGTCCTCAGCTAATAGCCTAAGGTGGCATTAGTGGGAAAAGGGTGGTCCTGATGCTGGATTCCTCTCTACATCTTCCAAGTGGCTAGAAGTTTGCAAGAGGAATTTCAGCAGAGAAGCTCTGGACTTTATGTTCCTCACACTCTAATTCACAACCTGCTTAAGATTTCAGACCCAGAGCTTCTTGTGTCAGATATGGCTGTAGTGCAGAATGCAGCTGTCATTCCATCTCGGTACAGTGTCAGTACAGAGCCTGTACCCTGTAGACATCACCTCTGACTTCCTGCCCTTGGCTGTTAGTCTCATCCATGTTCAGTCTCTCTCCTCCCCACCTCACCCCTGGAAGCCTCAGAACCCTCTAACTTCAGGACCAGACTTGCCTTCACTATAAGAAAACACATGAGTTAAATGATATTTAAAAATAAGAAATTTTCTTTTTGAGTCCTTATGCTATGCCACGCTAAGAGCTTTCTATGTACAATCTTGTTTAGTTCTCACAATAACCCCACAAGGTACTGTGATGCCCATTTTCCAAAGAGGAAACCAAAGTTCTCATAGTTCAGTTTCCCTCTTTGAAGTTATGTGGCTAAAAAGGAAGCCAGAACCTCAGTTGAGCTCTGCCCCAAGAGCTGTGGCTGAGCTAACCTGCCTTCTAAGCCCCACTGTGGAAGGATGACCTACCAAAGCAGCTTCTCCATCACCACTCAAAGTTCTCCCGATTACATCGGCTCACCTCTCCCTGCTGGATTGAGACTGGCCACGCAGGGTTAAGCTTTGTAGCAGGTGTTATTGAGACCCTTGCCCACATCCCTTGCCCTCACTACTTGCCTTTGCCTGAAACTCTCTGTGGCTACCAACTCCCACTTTGCCAGAAGTACTTGGGAATTAAGGCCCTCCAGGGAGCAGCTGTCAATCTAGATGCTGATACTTGGCGGGTGAATACCCCAGCTTTTTAGGTGTCCACAGAGTTGACAGCAAATTCTTTATAGCCTTCTCCCTCTATGTCCCCAGTCTACAGAGTTTCCTAAAATCACCTCCAAAATAAACTAGTTGCATTTGAATCCTTGCATTAGATTCTGTTTTTTGGGAGGGACCCAAGGTCCTCTTTGGGATCAAGTATACCTTCTATGTGGATGTGTGGGTTAGAATGGAAGTCCGAAGAGCCTACCAATGCAGTGAGTATATCTTTCTTTAAACAACCCATACCATCTTTCAGTTTCCATCACTTTAGTTTGCTGTTGCATGACATTCGTGCACTTGGTGGGAGAGGGATTCCTCAGCTGGCAGGCATGTGCCCTTTAGCAGTCCAAGAGCCCTCAGGAAATGTTCGACTGATGTCTCATGAAGAGCGGGCCCAAGCCACAGTCAGACATCCTTAGCGCTGCCACTGCTGCACTTGCCAGCCATCAGCCAGGCTTGTGGCTGAGTGGTGCTCCCCCTGTGGGAGTGCACTGACCACCAGGGGGCAGCTCTTGCATTTAGCATCTGCCCCCTGATGGTCAGTGTGCATCATAGTGACCAGTCATTCTGTTGTTCAGTCGATTTGCATATTATTACCCTTTTATTATATAGGATTTTTCTATCCCTGGGGTAGCCTCCAAAAGAATTTACTTATATTTTCCCAGAAGAGGGTAAAAGGGCTTACCTTTGTCTGACCTTCTCCTCATCTTTCCAATCATGCTGCTGGGAAGTTGAGGAGTGGCCCCTGGGGGATCTAGTCACTCTGGCTTGGTAAACTTGTGCCTTTTCTTTTGATGTCAGGCTTTATGATCTTTTGATTATCCCTACACATCCTTCCTAGTTTCAAATGCTGCAGAAATGGGGTTGACACTTTTTGTGGTTAGGAACTCAGCCTCTAGGTTGAATATCCTGGGTTTTCACTAAGCTCTCCCAATAGTAACCATAGGATGGGTGTGGAGATCCACTGGATGCACTGGGAGATGAACTTGAGCTAAAACTTGGTTGGTCACCTGACCTCTGTAAGCTCTATTCTGATTGGACTCCAGTGACCTGTGGGTCTCCTAGAATTAGTGTCAGTAGAGAACCTGTAGCCTGGGTCCATTGATCTTGGAAAGGTCTGATTTTCTTTTTCCCAGTGCAGACCCTTTGGTAAAAGGTTGTAGATTCCTACAGGGAATGCTGTGAGGAAGATTAACAGTATACATTTTGGCAGCAAGCCAGGCTCCGTCCTCAGGGGGTCCTAGTCTCCTCTTCATTCAAAGGGTTCTGGGTCTGTAGACTGGCTCAATTCTGGGAATTGATGGGGGGCATCATGCCTTTGTTTTTTGTGATTCCATTGATAAGTTTGCTCACTTGACCTAGATCTATTCTGCTTATACAGATTGAGTAAGAATATAGTAAGGCTTCTCATCTATTTTATGTCTAGGTACATCATGATCAACTAGCCAGCGCCATAGGTCAGTGGGAGTCAGATGCTTCTGAGGGCTGCTTTGACTCTGCTGTTCATTACAATAACCACACTGACTTGCCTTTGGTGGTTGAGTGTCTCCACTTGGTCCCTGTCACCCTGGGTTCCAATGACTCTCATTGTATTTAGGTTTCCCAATTCATGGCAGCAGGTCCCATTATAATGTGCCTTGGGCCTGTCACTTACCTTTTTATGCCTCAGTCTCTTCCTCTGTATAATGGGTAATAACGTGGTCATTGTGGCATTTAGAGGAATTAATATGTGGAAAGTAATAGAAGAGAGTCTCAAAGCCTATCTGTAGTTATTAAAATTATTTGTTGTGGGAAATGAAGAGGTGGAGGAGAGAGGAAGGGGCTGGAGCAAGAAGGGGAAGCTGTCAGATGTAGGAACCCTTGGTGGGAGTGGATCCATTTAGTTACCCAACAAATGTTTCTTGAGTACCTACTATATGCTACCCACTGTGATAGCTTTTCAAATTGGAGGTAGGGACAACAATTAAGCAAGTATAATAAGGTCTGAATGTGTGGTAGGGAATGCTCAGGGAATAGAGGAGCTTGGCACTCACTTAGCCTGCACTGGGCACTGGACAAATCACCTACATGTCCAAAAAATACCTCCTGGTTTAAGGTTGTCCATCTGTACGGCTGCTGGGCTGAGCCCTGCAGTAGTCCTCTAGCTGGTCTGGTCTCGCATGGCTGGTCTCCAGCAACCACTCCCTCCCCACACCACACTGCTTTCGCCTCGACCACCTGCTGCAGACCCGCAGGCTTTTTGCTGCCTTTCTCCCAGTCTCTGTTGCATGTGCTGTCTTCTCCTCCTGAACACCCTTCACATGGATGACAACTACTCATAGTCTTCATTCAGTGGTAACTCCTCTGCCCTTGTACCCCAGACCTGGGGAGAGGCCCTTCTCTTTTAGGTTCCCAGTTCTTGGCACTTCTTTGACAATGTCAATCAATCATCACCTTCCCACCAGGCGTTTAGCTCCACAGGGGCAGAGGAAATGCCTGCCATGATCATCCTTATCACCCCTTTCTGCAATGGCCATGCCTGACCCATAGACACTTGATAAACATCCGTGATATGTAAGCACAACTTTGAAAGATGATGCCTGTGCATTAAGCATGCCATCCTTCAGGTTAGATTCTCAATGCATTTTGAGCAGCTTCCTTTTTCTGGCCACATCCAAATCATTCACCATGCAGAATAGCACCAGAGACCATGGTGTCCATCCTTGCAGGGCGCTGGACAAGCGGACGTCTATCTGTCCCTTCTCTCCTCCCTTCCTTGGGCAGGGAGACCCCTGGGTACGACCCGGGGGCAGGACTTTGCCAGATTGGGCCTGGCCCCTGGCAGTGGAGAGCCAGCGGTCCCTCTGGGCAGGTGAGACCTGCACAGGCCTCTTCCACGCGTGCTGCGGTGCGCGCTAGTAGGCAGCAGGGGGCGGCAGAGAGACAGGAGTGGTCCACGGAGGAGTCCAGCTCCGAGCGGCGCGGTGCGAACCCACCGAGGCCGCGCTCAGAAGCCCCATCTCCCATCGACAGGCCGCTGGGCTCAGGAGGCTGCCGGGGCTTTCTTTTTCCTCAAGTGCAGGCAGAGTCCCCTAGAGCCATGGCCAGCCCTTCCGGCAGCCCCGAAGACAAGGGCAAGCTCAGAGGCTGGGACGGCCGGCAGAGGCGGGAGGAGGAGGATGCCCCTCCGGAGGAGAAGAGGTTGAGGCTGGGGCTGGAAGGAGGAAGCGCAGCGCAGGAGGAGGGAGAAGACACTCCACGCCTGGGCAGGGAAGAGACGGGCACCCAGACAGGTGTCGAAGGCAGAGGTGTAAGTGAGCAGGGGCGCGGGAGGGATGCGGCTGGGGGGTGGCTGGGACGTTCCCCATCTGTCCGCCGTCAGGTCCAAGTTGGTAATTGGGCAGTAACTCCTGCGGGGCGGGCGCGGTATGATAGCTTGCAGGGACCTCCCGAGAAACTAGATGTTCCGATATTGATGGAAATTCCCTCTTGTTTATGTAGCATGGACTTGCTGGTTCTCCTTGACGTCCTTGGTGTCTGGGAGACCTTTGGGCTTCATGGTTCTTAAAAAAAAAAAAGTGTGTGTGTTGGGGGAGCGGAATCTCTGCGTCCTGGGGGCCCCAGGAAGGGAAGGAGGTGGGGTTGCTCTTAGCAGCCTCACCCAGCACCCCTATCCTGGACAGCGCTGTTTTGGGTGTCTCTCTGGGACTTTGCTTGTTGTGTGTGCCTCTCTAGCAAGGAGCTTTGGTAGGAAGTACCTGGACATAGTCTGCCCAACCTGGCCCTATCGACCCTGTCAGCGTGTGCGCTGGCAGCAGCCACCAAGCCCCTCTCCTGCCTTTGCTCCCATTCTGCGTGGGCAGTGAGAGTTCAGGGAAAAGGCAGGTGGCTTCCACCCCCTAAGTCACTCTCCTCTCCTCATCCCTTCAGAGAGTGACAAGGCGAAGTTCTGTGCACACCCTAGGGTGCTGCCTGCCTTTGGTCTGCTGGCTAAGGGTATGTGTGAGGTGATTTGTTCTGTATGTTTGTGGGTATATGAGTCATTAGGTGTGGGATGAATCTCTGAGGCCAGCTTGACTCCCAGTCCCCATTTTCTGCTTCTCTCCTGAATCTTCCAGCTGTGACCTGGTGACCTTACTACGTCGGGGAACACAGCATCTGGAGGACAGATGAGGAATGGTGAGCAGCTGTCCCCATGGCAAGGGCTGCCACCTTGAAAGTTTTCATGAATAATGGGGTTGACCTTTTTGTTTCTCCCAAATGTTTTTATTCTTGACCAATTGCTTGACTAAGCTCATCTTAAAAATTTGATTAGTGATTGGTGAGCCATATGAGGGAGAGTTCTCCTTTCTCCAAAACCGCGCAGGCAGCAGCAGCAGCCTCCTCCGATGCCTCCAATGTCTGGGCTGCAGCACAGCCCAGCTGATGGGCATGCCTCCCTGTGACTGTCACCCTGTTCAGATCTTGGGCCACCTGGGCACCAAAAAACAGGGGAATTTCTCTCTGAGATTCCAGGAGAAGGAAGGCTTTAGGGTACACTGTGGAAAGGATGAGAAGGGAGTAGTGTCGCAGTATGGCGGGAGGAGAGGCCCACACAGTTTCGGGGGCGGTGCAATGCTGTGAAACTTTCACTGTTGTCAGCCCCTCCCTCTTCCTGTCACCTCTCCTATGGGGAACTTCGCTGAATGGAGTGAAGTGACCAAGTGCAGGGCATGCTTAGGAATGTGGGCTTGAATCTGAACTCAGGCCCTTCTTAGCTGGGTGACCTGGCACACATTACTTAATGTCTCTGAGCTTTAGTGTCCTTAATGGTGAAATGGATATGTCAACAGGCCTCTTCTCATGGTTATTACTCCTGAGATTAAGCAAAGATTATCCATTGAAGACACTTAGCATTGCACTTAGCACATAGCATGTACTCAATAAATGTGATTTAGTACTGAAATTCACTCCATTTGGCTTGCTTGCTGCCATGTTTGGTTCTGGAGTGAATGACAAGAGACAAGGGTCTTGGGCCAGAAACTCCAGAAAGCTGAATAATGCTTTCTGGAGGTTAAAGGATTTATGTGTAGATGATAAAATTTTCAAAAGGCAGAGACCCCACTGAACTTTTTGGTTCACAAAGGGAAATGGGGGTTCCACAATTTGAAGGATCATGGCATAACTGGGCAGAAGTTGTTCTTTGTTTCCTGAGCCTGAATACGAGTCCTTTGGGGGCACCTGGATCTCCTGGGGGCATTGGCACCTCATAGACACTTGGTTTTCAAGTTTAAAGGTTGGCCACAGTGTGGGCTGCCCACAGTGCCCCCTCAGAGAGAGTTCTCTCTCTTTTTAGACTCTGTAGGAATATTTCCTTTATGGAACCAGGAAGCAGTTTCAGGATGGTACTAGGAGCAACAGCAATTTCTCTGAGCAGAGCCCATTTCTTCACTAAGAGACCACATCCAAATGGATCAAGAACAGCCTGCCTTTTCATGAGATTTTTGTCTGTGTAGACCATTCCTTGGCTGAAATGTCAAAAACATCTTTGTTCTTTAATAGCAGCTTATTTTGAGATACTGATCATTTTGGGCTTTTCTCTGAGGAAGCTGCACGGGCATCACCTCCCTGTCCATATTGTATCCAGATGTTTTTAAGGATAAAATAGCCTTTTCCATCACCAGGTTTGGCACTCTGGGTGGCAGAGGTTCACATATGACCGGTTGTCCCTCAGAGTGGATCTCAGGTTTGTCTCTTTAAGGAGGGGGTCACCTCCTCTGGTGATTTCTGGGGATGCTTTTAGGTGGTCACTTGGAGCCCAAGGAGCCCTCTCAGTGCTGAGTCCTGCAGGAGGTGCGGTGGAAGGAGGGTGTGTGTTTAGTGAGGGCTGATCTTCCTTCCACCAGGTATCACAAGTTTCACAGATTCCCTTAAGCCTCGCCAGCACCAGTGCTGTTGAGCTTGTGTGAAAAAATAGTTCTCCCAGAGCTTTTATTGGTTCCTTTAGAGTGGTCCTAGGGGTCACTACCCATAGTCATCCACAACTCTTCCTGGAGGGAGAGAAAAATTTCTTCTAGGTAATCAGTTACTATCCTCAGTCATTGTTCAGCTTTTTTCCAAGAAGAGGCAGCTTGGCATAGATTTCTGGGTTGTGTTGGGCAGAACTGAGCTTTCAAGGGAAACAGTTCATCAGAAAGCGCTACATGGACTCTCCACTCAAGGGTCCCTGGGATTGAAACCGGAGTGGAAGGTTATCGTCAGCATGGGTCTCCTGGAGGGGTGGATCAAGACTGCAGGTCTTTCCTTTTTTGCTGGTGATGGTTCTGCACTTGGATGTCTCTACTTTGGTACTGTTGACATTTGGTGAGATACTTTGTGGGGGCTGTCCTGTGTACTGTAGGATTCTTAGTAGCATCCTTGACCTTTGTCCACTGGGTGCTGGTAGCACTGCCTCCCCCACCTCCAGTTGTGACAACCAAAAATGTCCCTAGGCTGAGAGCCACTTATCTATACTTGCAAAAATGTGTCAGAGTGTAGGTATTGAGTTTAGGTCCCTACTATACCACTTGTAAGCTGTGCAGCCTTGGGAAATTTATACTATTAAATACCTCAGTGAGCCTCTGTTTCCTCATCTGAGAAACAGGTAATGAGAGACAATCTCATTATGTAAGATTATGTTGGCATTCAGTAAAATAATAAGAATAAATGGGAAATGCTTATAGTATTTAGATAATGAAAAAGCACAAAACAAGTGGTCAATTTTATTTAAAAAATTATTTGGATGAATCAGACTCCATCCTTCATCCCCTGTCTATTGGTGAAGTGCAAGGGTGAATATCATTTACCTAAATCTCACATTAGATTTTGGCAGACCTTCAGCTTTCAACTTGGAATCACTGATTCCCACTCCGCTCTCCCCCAAGATCCCCCCCCTGTTTCTCAGGCTGAGGATTCTAGGGTATGGGTGGGTAGACAGGTGGCTCTCAAGGTTCACTCTCACAACAGAGAATTCAGAAGCTGGCATGCAGAGACAAGGTGTTTGGACCAAATCTGGATTTCAGGATTCCCATTTGAGCACAGCTGGACTCCAAAGGGCTGAAATATAGATATTTCCCAGGCAATGATCTCTCAAACTGACATGCAGACATGGCTGCCCACTGGAACCCAGTGTGTTTGCATCAGCTCTCCTATAATTTGTGAAGCTAGCTTCTGAGGACTGCAGTGTGCGGGTGGGTTACAATAGAGGGTTTTCTCATCCTCCAAGGGCCAAAAGTGGGGTGCAGGTTGGTGGAGGGTCCTTGCAGGAGAAGAAGGCATGGAGAGTGTTCCTTTTAGCTAGAACAGACAGGCACAGGCCACATACTGTGTGATTCAGAACCCTCAGGGAGGCTGGAGTCTGTGCCTGCAGCAGTTTTGGAGTCTGAGCCGTGTTGCCCTTGGCTTTAATCATGTCAGAAATATACAGAAATATTTATCTCCTGTTTTGGTCAACTGGAACTCAATTTTGGCTTTTTACCTGGTAAGATTTGGACAGTAGGCTAATGTCCTCCTAATTTAAAAAATTTTGGTAAGATGGTTGTTGTCCCTCTGTGTCCTCTGGAACATGACTTGATGCTCAAGGAGCAGAAAGGAGACAATCTGTGGCTGGGACAGGGGTCTCTGTTGGGCATGCTGGTGGCTTGGACAGTGGGACAGTGGCCATGGTGGAGCTGTGTGCCTGAACTGAGGCAAATTTATGAGATACATTCTAAAGAATTTAAGCATCTTTTGGGTGTTGGAAATGAGAAGAGGTCAGGATCAAGTTAACATCCAGAATGGCAGGGAAAACCACAAATTTGAATCTGGACTCTGGCTGAGGTTGTTCTGAGACCCACATAGCAATTAATAATATTACAGATGGGTCTTGGGCTGGACTCATCAGTGTAGATGTAGTTGAGGCACTGGGAACACCCAAGATTGACTGGGGAGAGAGTAGGGTGGCAAGAGGAGGGATTTGGTTTAAGCCCAGGGAATCTGAACGATGAGAGGAGGAGAATCCATGAGAAGGGTCATAGGAGCAGCAGGCAGAGGCTACGAGGCCCCCAAGACAGGAGAGGGAGAAAGACGAGGTCAGTTGTGTTGAAGATACCCACTGGGTTTAATAGATCATACTCATCAGCCATTGCTGGAATTTTAATGGAGGCCAATTGTGGGGGCACAAAGATTCACCTTAGGCCTGGGCACTCTAGCACCCACCCAGAGTGTGTGCAATGAAACACATGGATGCTCACGGTCTTGTGTATGTGTGACTCCACAAGACACACATGGCTTGTGTGTGACTCCAAAGCCTCT